TAGTAGTTGTTGTTGTTGTTGTCGTAATAATAGTAGTAGTAGCAGCAGGAGTCGTCGTAGTAGTAACTTAGTAGTAGTAGTAGTAGTAATAGTAGTAGTAGTAGAAGTAGTAGTAGTAGTAGTAGTAGTAGTAGTAGTAGTATTAGTAGTATTAGTAGCAGTAGCAGTAGCAGTAGCAGCAGCAGCAGCAGCAGCAGCAGCAGCAGCAGCAGCAGCAGCAGCAGCAGCAGCAGCAGCAGCAGCAGTAGCGCTGGTGGTAGTAGTAGTAGTAGTAGTAGTAGTTGTTGTTGTTGTTGTTGTTGTAATAATAGTAGTAGTAGTAGCAGCAGGAGTCGTCGTAGTAGTAGTAGTAGTAGTAGTAGTAGCAGCAGGAGTCGTAGTAGTAGTAGTAGTAGTAGTCGTCGTCGTCGTCGTCGTCGTCGTCGTCGTCGTAGTCGTAGTCGTAGTCGTAGTCGTAGTCGTGGTGGTGGTGGTAGTAGTAGTAGTAGTAGTAGCAGTAGTAGTAAATAGCAGCAGAAGTAGAAGTAGAAGTAGAAGTAGAAGTAGAAGTAGAGGTAGAGGTAGAGGTAGAAGTAGCAAGTAGCAAGTGGCAAGTGGCAAGTGGCAAGTAGCAAGTAGCAAGTAGCAAGTAGCAGTAGCAGTAGCAGTAGCAGTAGCAGTTTATGTCGCACTGGTAGGAATAGTCATCAGGCTGAAACAGATAACTCCTAAGAGCTTTAGATTTAGGGTTTTCAAGGTTCCGAATTAAGGGTTCCTGAAGCCCGAAGCCCAGTCGTTTACGGTTTATCGGTGAACGACGATGCAGCCGGTTTTGGGAATGTGGGGTTGCCCGAGGACGGTGGGCCACAGGCCTACTGGTGGCTCGATCACTACCCCCGGCTGCGTGAGAAGGGGAAAGAGCTCGGAATGGCCCGGGCCGTGGGGAGCATGTGCTGGTTCAGGTTTTGGGGTTCAACGTTCTCTGTCCTTCACGTGCACTAATGTGGCGAAACCCTACGGCATATCATCCACTCCTACCCCCAAAACAACCCCCAAAAGCATAGACCCCTGAATTCCTGCACTGCGTCCTAAATCCTAAACTCCCTAAACCACTAAACCCTAAACCCCTAAACCCTAAACCCCAAACCTTCAACTGAAACGCTAAGGTCGATCTGTTGCAAAGCCCCGGTGACACAGCTTTGGCCTTGGCTTTTGCAAGAGGGTTTAGGGTTTACGTGCAAGGGTGGCTTGTATTCGCGGTTTGGGGCTTCGGTCGTAGGGCCGTGGAGTTTAGGCTGTGGGTCGAGGAAGCAGCATCGATGCGATGCTGGGCAGGCTTTAGGATCGATGCGACGCCGAAATCCACCTAGCTGGGGGCTTTTTTATCGGTTGCCTCTTTGTAATGAAATCCGACTGAGTCGCGACCGCAAACTTCTCAACATCGCGAGTTTAGGGCCACTTCTAATGAGGCAGAAGCATCAGAGAAGGAGGATCCATGCCGTGGAAGCAAGGATCCCCACAGAGTCATAGAGTCGGATCATCACTTCCATGTCGTTTTCCAGCCGAGGAGCAAAAAAAACATCGTTTTGAGGACGCCTAGCGGGTGTTCTCATCCCGACGCCAAGCCCCCTAAACCCTGAACCTTCGACCCCAAAACTCTAAAAAACCTAAACCCTGGCAAGAGGTCTTCGTGCCAGCGGGTTGGTGGCACGCCACTTTGAATCTGCCGGATGGTGGGGAGGCTAGGAATTAATTGTTGTAGGGTTTAGGTAGGGCTTAGGGTGTTGGGAGGACTCTCTGGACTGTAACATCGGACCTTGGTGGCCTTTGGTTTAGGCCCTAAAGTAGTTCCTGTTTTGGGGGGCTCATATATAGAATCCTATAGGGTAATCCCAAAAAGGAACTACTATGGGGCCTATGGGTAATGTTAGTTCTTGCGGCTTAAGGTTCAATTGTTCAACTTGTTTTTGTTTTGGAAGGGGGAGGGGGGGAGGACTTTGCGGCCTAGCAGAGCTGTTTCTTCTTGTCACCTGGGTGCCGGCTTGCGAAAGTCGCAACAATCATGCTCGAATGAAATCTTGAAGACTCAAGCCCAGCCCACAAGGGAAGCGTTAAACCCTGAGACACATGCTCGACATTTTCCCTGGAACAGAAGCCTCAGTACAGCTCTACTTCAAAGGCCGGAACACTGAATAACATGTGCTATTCCCCTCTAATTCCCAACACGTCCTTAATTACGATCATATATGCCAAGGCCCTCTTCTAATCGTTAAGGAACAGACAAGCAATAAAACAACCGATCTGCAGGATGTCACCATCGCCTGCACTCGCAACATCTTCCCGGCTGAAACCCTCGACTTCGCCCGGCCCTCTCAGGTCTAGTATAGTGGCCTGAATACTTACCTAAATATTATTCTGGGGGCTCCTTATTTTGGTATAATCATATGTAGTATAATATGCCCTAAGACCTTGTTCTAATTATTAAGGCCCCGATATTAGCTCGGGGCTTGCCTACCCTAAGAAACCTAGCCTTCTTGGCGGTCTTTAGTAAGATTTCGTTGTATGCGTCCTAAGTGAAAGATAGGTTCTTTGGGGTTCAGGTAGGAGTTTGGGGTTTAAGGTAGGGGGTTGGTGTTTGGGGTGCAGGGTTTCGGGTTTAGGGATTTAGGTTTTGGGCTGTCTGCAGTTGAAGGACCGGGATGGGTAGGTTTTATTGGGATCGAGGTTATGTCGGGCTGTACATTTCTAGTGGATTGTGGGCTAAGTGAGTCGTATGTAATCTAGTGGCGCGATCCTACCTAAATCCTAAACTCCTATAATTCCTGAACCCCTAAATCCTAAACACATACACCCTAATCCTTAAACACTAAACCCAACTCTGTAAGGTTAATGAGACAAAAGGACCAGTACCTATGCCACTGTACCTCTTGGCCTCCTGCTTGACCTTGAGCTGCCATGGGCTAGTGCTTCGTAGGGTCACAAGACATCGGAGAATTCGGCTTTGCTTCATTTAGGGTTTAGGGTTTGGGGGTTTAGGGTTTAAGGTCTAGTGTTTAGGGATTTACAACTGTCGCACTTGCACATGTGAGGTGCATTTAAGGCACTTATCATCGGAGTAGCTAGCTGTATGAGGAGCGGTATAACGTGCGGTGTGTCAGGGTTTCCGGTTAAACATGGACACGCATCATAAGCAGCAGTTTAGAGTGTAGGGTTGCTATCATCACCGTCACCAGCATCATGCCCGTCAATACCACAGGCACCACCAGGAGCGGCTGCAGCGTCAAACTCCAAGCGTTTTGGGGTTTAGGGCAACCTAATTTCCTGAGAGCATAAACCCAAATTCGAAAACTCAAAACCTAGACACTGTATCTTTAACACCCCACACTCCACCGCCCTAAGCTGCTCAGTTGCCCTCTGAATGCTGATCTGGCAGAGGTGCTGCCGCGAATGCGCAACGCAGACCCGGCCTTTGCCACCTGGCAAATTTCGTTTTCTCTGGCTTCGCTGCATCCGAGAATCTGGTTCTAAGGGGCCTTATTAGGGAGTTTCTAGGTTTTTGTATAGGGTTTCGTGAGCTTCATAGAGTTGCAAGCAATGTTAAAACAGCTTCAGAGCTGTAGGGTGCGGAAGGCAGGGTTGAGATTTTCGAACTCTGGGTTTGCGAGGTTTCAGAAAGTTTGGGGTTCGGAGCTTTAGTGGTTTAGGGTTCAGGGCTTTTGTTTTCAACTGATGTTCTGCGATGGAAACTTCACTCGCAGCTTAAGACTGGGAGTTGAGATGTTGACGTGTTCAGCTCATTGCTTAAAGTTCCGGGCTTCCAGGTCGAAGTGTAGGGCAGTGTATACAGTTTGGGATTCCTATTTGGGAGTTTCCGAAAATTAGGGGTACCTTGTTTTGGGGTCCTTATAATAAGCATCCTATTATTTAGGGTGCTATATTAGGGTCCCCTATTTTCGGAAACCACCATTTCTGCGCTTGGGTTTCGAAATGACAGTCAGTGCTTGGTCTAGGTGTAAGACTTCTGGCTTTCGTCGGCTCAAAGCCTTGAAACCAAGACGCAAAGTTGAGGGTTTGGTGTGGTAGGGTTGGTTTGGAGTTCAGGGTTGATGCCTAAACCCTAAACCCCTAAACCCCTAAACCCTAAACCCTTAAACCCCTAAACCCAAACCCCTAAACCCCAAGCCCCTAAACCCCTAACCCTAAACCCTAAACCCCGAAACCCCTAAAACCCTATACCCCCAAGCCCCGAAACCCTAAACCCTAAACCCTCAACCCTAAACCCTAAACCCCCAAGCCCCGAAACCCTAAACCCTCAACTCTAAACCCTCAACCCCTAAACCCC